AGCAGGGGTGATGTCGGTTTCGAAAATTGTTCGTGCGGCGGCATTATCTTTCTGTTTCTAGGGTTTTCGTAGGTGGGCCTGTGGCCCATGTATTGTGGTTTCAGATGCCTTGTAGTTGTTGGGCTTTGTTGGCTTTGCTTTGTAACATGTTGGGCTCAGCCCTTTATTTAAATAAATTATTGACGGGAAAAAAAAAAAATGTAACATGACTTTCTAGTAATAGTTCATTTTTTTAAAAAAATTCACACATAAATCAAGTTATGACTTCTGTTTTAATATATAAGATGCGTATAAATAGATTTGAAATTATAGGATTTCAAGGAACATGACCTTAACGGGCCACGACAGCCCGTATTAACATCCTATCGCTTGTCCAATCAGACGTATTTCTATTTGAAATAGCGATTTAAAATCTTAAATCTCTAAATTCAGGGTTCAATGAAAATTAAGACCATGTACACCATGTATATAGCCTGCGAATAAACTGATTAACATATAAAGGCAAGTTTAGACTTTCTCCTTCTCCTTCTCGATTTCGACAACGAGATCATATTCACATCAACAATGTCACGTTTTTGGTTGTAAGCAGCCAATGTAGTCCATACAGTATGAGAACAAAAGGAACAAATATATATCAAAAGTACGAACTTTTTTTTTTTTTTTTTTTTTTTGGTCAACATCAAAAGTACGAACTTAAAATTGGTAATAAAACCGAATTATGTAATAAGTTCCTCGGGACCAAACTTGAAAATCTCTGTGTACATACCACGTCGGATACGTGAGACGCTCTGCCTTGACCTTTTATTATTATACCCTCTAGTTACATCTCTAAAGTCTTATGTTGACTATCTTTCGGTACTTAGAAAATGTCGAAACACATACTCACAGTTCCTTTTGTCTTTTTGTCTCCTTAATTCCCTCTCCGATTTATTTGATTTTTCTATTTTAATTTCTACTGAAAGCAATCTTACATAACGTAAAAAGGAAAATAACTTTTCGTCCTGGGATCTACATAGCTACAGTATCATCTACTACTTTCCCTCTGAATTAATTCTTTTTTTCTGAAGAAAAACAAAAAAGATAAGATTTTTTTTCTTTATTACTCTCATCGGTTGGTAATTAAAGACTAGTTGAAGACGAAGAAAGAAGCCAGCAAGCTTCTACCAAACTCAAGAGATCGTTTGTTTTCAGTTTTGGTGAAAAAAAGAAAAAAAAAGAAATAGAAAGTATTTGTATTTTAATTTTTGCTTTTAAATCGTTTTTTGGATTCTCTTCTGTCTTTGGGTTGATTTTAGCTGTAAAGGGCCACACACACACAACGCCCCCTTCTTGACGTCTCTCTCTCTCTCTATGTGACTTTTGATTTGAATAACAAAAATTATTTATTTTCTGTTTTGATGGAGTTGTAGTGGTGTTCCCTTTTCTCTTCAGTTTATTATTTTAATTCTCCGTGGAGAAGAAACTTCTGGGTTTTTTATTATTCTCTTTTGAATTTCTTTTATGAGATGTGGAATTTTCAGTTTTGATCACATTTCTTGAGTTGGAAAATTGGGTCTTCTCTCTTAGAGGCATGTCACCTGCAGAGTTTCACAGACAAGGGAATGATTGGTAAAAGTCACTCTCTGTCTTCTTTATATGCATGTTTTACAATTTTTCAGTTGATGGGTTTTGTCTTGAATGTTGATTCAATTTGCCTAATTTTATGGCCTTGGTAGGTCAGAGACCTTAAAATGTTTACAGCTTTCCTCAGATCCTCACTTGCCACCTCATTTTTAAAGATTTTCAGAGACAGAGTCTTAAGAGTTTAGACATAGTTTAGCTTTTTTTATAAGAATTTTGGATCCTGACCTGGAAAACAATTGAAGATAGATTACAAAAGGGTGTTTTTCAGATGGAATTTCCCTTACAAGTTTGTTCTTTAGGTACTGTATCTTACAATTTTGGACTCTGCAGGTTTTGCAAAACAGGGCTTTCAAGTGACATAACTGTTGTTGTTGATGATGTGAAGTTTCATCTTCATAAGGTATAGCTTTTTGATCACTCTTTATGATACTTTGCTTTCTTCCTGAGTTTAGTATCCATTGCCTTCTTATCCTTTTAGGCAAAGTATGTGTTTGACCGTTGAGCCAGGTTACCATCTAGCTAGTGACTTTAAGTTTGCCGAAACTATTAGATGTTAAGCTCATCAACTAGATATGTGTTTGACCTTTTCTTATGGTTATGTAACAACAATATCTTGAATGTGTATCTATGAGTGCAGCAACGCTCTTAAAAAGAACTACAAGGAACTTATTATATATATGTGAAATTTGCAGTTTCCTCTAGTGTCAAAATGTGGAAAGCTAGCAGGGATGTACGAAGACTCCAAAAACACCGACAAAAAATCTCTCTGGACAACAGCTCTTAAAGACTTCCCAGGTGGATCAGAAACTTTCCTAACAGCCGCAAGATTCTGTTACGGCACTCGAGTAGATCTCACCTCCAAGAACATAGTCTCCATACACTGCGCAGCTGAGTACCTCGAGATGACAAACGAGTACGGGGAAGACAACTTGTTACCCCAAGCCGAAACATTTCTGCACAAGCACGTGCTTCGCAGTTGGAAAGACTGTATCCTCGCCTTACAAAGCTCCAGCCCTGTTTTAAAGACCGCTGAGAAGCTTCAGACAGTAATACCCAAACTCATGAATGCCGTTTCCACGATGGTGTGTACTGACCCTAGCTTGTTCGGATGGCCTATGATGATGTACGGTACGTTGCAGAGTCCTGGTGGGAGCATTCTATGGAACGGAATAAACACGGGAGCAAGAATGAGAAGAAGCTCTGGTGGTTATGATTGGTGGTACGAAGATGTGTCTTATCTAAGTGTTGATTTGTTTAGAAGACTTATAAAGACTATGGAGACAAAAGGTATACGTGTGGAGAGTTTAGTCGGTGCGATGATGTATTACGCGAGAAAGTACCTGCCTGGTTTGGGACGGTGGCATAGCAGTAGAACAAGTGTTGTGAGTTTTAGTTTGGCAACAGCTCCTTCTTCCTCCTCTTCCTCTATGTCTCATGTTGATCAGATTAGTTTGCTTGAAACCATTGTAAGTCTCCTCCCTGAAAAGAGAGGAAGATCATTCTGCAAGTTCTTGCTGTGTCTTCTACGTCTTGCTTTCATTTTGGGAGTTGATGGGAGCTCCGTGAAGAAGCTGGAGAGAAAGATAGGGATGCAGTTAGAGCTCGCAACGCTTGAGAATCTTCTGATACTTAACTATTCTGATTCAGAGACGTTGTACAATGTAGATTGTGTAGAACGAATGATCCATCATTTCGTATCATCATCATCGTTAGAGAAGCTAACTGACTTCTCTCCTCCATCTTTGGATCAAGAGATGTCTCCTTCTTCCTCTTTAAAGAAAGTGGGGAAGCTGGTGGATAGCTACATGGCGGAAGTTGCTTCTGATGTGAATCTGAAACCTGATAAGATGAAGTCTCTTGCAGCAGCTCTTCCGGAATGTTCAAGACCGTTATACGACGGTCTTTACAGAGCGTTTGATATCTATTTCAAGGAGCATCCATGGCTATCAGATAAAGACAAGGAGCAGCTCTGTAACACCATGGACTACCAAAGACTCTCGATAGACGCTTGCGCTCATGCTTCTCATAACGACAGGCTACCTCTAAGAGTTGTTCTTCAAGTTCTTTTCTTCGAACAGATGCATCTCAGAACGGCTCTTGCAAGCACCGAAACTGTCCCGAGAGAGGAGATAGTTCAGAGAGATGGGTGGGTGACGGTTGTGAGACAAAACCAGGTTTTGAAAGTGAATATGCAGAAGATGAGGTCGAGGGTTGGGGAGCTAGAAGAGGAGTTTCGGTGTATTAAGCAGGAGATGAAGAAGAAGAGAGCGAGTAAGTCCTCTAGTAGCATAAGCTCGCCTCGTTTGGTTAAGATGGGATGCAAGTTTCTTCTTCCACGTGCTTCTGATGCCAAAAATGATACTGTGCAGAGGTCTGTGTCTAGTACTCCAAGATCTTCTGCTGCTGAACACGCACTGCCTCGCTCTTCTCGCCATTCAAAACACCGTAAAAGCTTCTCGTTTTTCGGATAAATCTCCCTTGGAAAACGCAAAACACAACAACAAAGTAAGGTTCTCTATTTACCAACAGAGAAGGGGTTGCGTTGTTACTAGCGGAGCAGAAGCTGGTCATTAGGCTCAGAGTATTTGCCGGGGGTTTCTCTTGAGATAGAAGTTTTGAAGACATTTACCATCAAAGTTGATAGTGTTTTCGGAGAAGTTCATGCATTTGTGATCGTGTTTTTGGGAAATGGGTATACTGTAAAAGTAAATAACTAGAGTTAGGATCAATAGAGGAAAAGAGGGTATAATTCTTGTCTGATTTGATATGATTCTTTTTTGAATCTTTGTAAATGTGTTGTGTCTATCTGTGTATAACTCTTGCTTTTACCTCTATCTACAAGCATGTTGCTGTTTTGTCAATAATATAGGCTCTTTTATACTATTCAGATGCATTTAAATGTTTGATAAACGAATTACGGTACGGAGTGGCGCAAAACCATTTTAAAAGTTCGAGAAACTATTCTTTTTAGTTGAAACAAAGGTGTAAATGACAACATGCGCAGAATAAATGGGTACGGTCTAAATAGTAATAATAATAAAAAAAAATAATAATATATATATATATATATATATGCATAGATCTACAAACTTTTTTGTTAATATATTAACTGCAGTGCAGTGTGGGTGCAAACATTTGCAGCCAAAATTAACAAAATGTGTTATGTTTTAGAGTGTTAAACCGTAGTAGTGTTATATAAAGCTTTGAATTTTTAAAATTGATGATTCCAACAATAGCAATTAAAATTTAAAATTATGACATGTGTTCAATAACAATTTTTCATTTGGCAAAAAAAAATTATTAAGTTTTGTTTTAAAAGAAAACTAAAATCAAAACAATCATCAAAAAGTTCTTACAACTAATTAAATTTATAATTAACCATTAATAGTAGTTTTTCGATCAACCGATATTAGATCCAAATTAATTTGAACCAAAACAGGTTAAGTAAACTGAAATTATTATTCGATTTAGTTATAAAAAAGATTGATTTCAATGATTCTCTTTATTAGCCATTGTGCAGAAAATAATTGTTTGTCACATTTGTTTATCTCCTATTGGTTTGTAGGAATTTGGAACACATTAATGTTAGCAAAGAGTTAGGCATTGTCACAACATACTTGAAAAAACACTTACTTGTGATGGGTAAGTAGTTTGTTGATGTATGCTATCACAGTTTTTGTTTAATGTGTGTTTTCATTTCAAGTATGTGTTTTTCATAATATGTGTCTCTATCAATTGTCTTCAGATTTTCTCACAAGGAGAAAGTTACTTTTGAGTTTAAAGATCTCCTTAAAGTTGCCACTGAAACTACCAAGTCAATGCAATGCAATATCTACATAAAAACAATTTTTTCTATGGAGGTCACGAGAAGCCACTTTTCCATGCCATGTTTAAATGACTAGTTAGTATGTTAGTATCTTAGTTTCTATACCTTCTTTTACTATGTGAATAACAAAATATAAAAATTTCAAATGCACAATTTCTACATTTTAGCCTCGGTCTTGTATATATGTAGACATGTCATTGTTGTTGGCATCCACATAAACATTTCCTATGATTGAATTTGTTTTCTGGTGTTGCTGGCATCCACATAAACAATCTCAGTAAAATTTTATTATGTATTAATCGCTTAAAAGTATTATTCAGTTGTATTTTTATCAGTATTTTTAGTTCTTAAAAGCATTTATGCAAATTAATAGAGAAAATATATATATTATGAATTATATGTAAGTAGAACCGCTAATATTTCTTAAAAGTTTGTAATAGTATAAACTAGCGTTAACAAGGAATACCATGACCATTTGAGAATTGATGGTAAAAATTAAAATGTTTGATGATTTTCTTTTTTTTTTCTATTGTAAATGATAAAAATATATACTTTCATTTGAGAGAGTTGTTGGTAGAAATTCAAAACTTTAGAATTTTTGAATTTGGTAATTAATTATTTAATCAATTCTCCAATAAAAAAAAAACACTTCTGAAAATTCAAAAGAAGAAACAGAAAAACAAAAAGTCGTCTTTCTCTTTCTCTCATTAACCTTCCCAAATCTCCCACCATTTGAATCCCAAATTAAATTCTATACGATCCGAGAACCCCCAATTTCGCCCCCGTTTCCAGATTAGGGTTCGGATCCCTCCCTGCGACGATCCTCCACCTGTGCCTCTCGTATTTAGATCCAATTTAGCGAAGGTGGATCTGCACGAAGGTGTGGGATCTGAGGAAACGTTTCCAGCATGAGCGGGATGAGAGGTCTCTCCGTCTTCATCAGCGACATCCGAAATTGCCAGAACAAGGAAGCCGAGCGGCTCCGCGTCGATAAGGAGCTCGGCAACATCCGCACTTGCTTCAAAAACGACAAGGTTTCTTCGAGTGGACTGAGATCATTAGATTACGTCTATCGTCTTAGTTTAGTGGGCTTAGCAATATGTTTTCGCAGCGTCTATTATCCGCTAGTCAATTCTTTTTATTTGTTTTTTTTTTTTTTTTTTAACGTTTGATCAGTGGAATTGGATAAGTAGTGTGTGTAGTATATGACCCTAAGTTTTTCGTGTATGAATTTAGGGATTGACACCGTATAAGAAGAAGAAGTATGTGTGGAAAATGCTTTATATACATATGCTTGGCTACGATGTGGATTTTGGTCATATGGAGGCGGTTTCTCTTATCTCTGCCCCAAAGTATCCTGAAAAGCAGGTATACAAATGAACTATTGATTTTATGATAGGAAAGGGAGGTTTTGTATTTGAATAGGAATAGGAATATATTGTCAAGGTGGAAGTGAAGCAAAATGTCAGTTACATATACTTGTAAGGGTGATAATTGGATATTGTTTCACGTGCTAAGTACAGTAGCAGTTATAGTATGCGATTGCAAACAATCCTTAGCTCTCTGTTCAAGTGCAGTGTGTTTCTGATCTTCCAAAGATTTTTATTTGCGATTTTTGTTACTTTCATGGTTTTTAGCTGATTTCAAGTTTTCATCTATGTATGCTAGGTTGGTTACATTGTCACATCGTGCTTGCTCAATGAGAATCATGATTTTTTGAGGCTGGCGATTAATGCTGTCCGCAACGACATTATTGGACGCAATGAGACTTACCAATGCCTTGCATTGACTTTGGTAAGCACTCTTTCATCCATAATATTTTCATCTCTTATTTTTCAGCTTATCATATGTAGTTTAGTATTTAAACAGAAGGTCAATGACTATATTATGTGCAGCATGCTTATTATTTCGGTATTTGAAGTTATCTTCTTCATTAAATGATGTTACTTTTGTAGATTTTTTACCGTCCTGTGCTCTATTTCCTCTGTAGGTTGGAAATATTGGTGGACGAGAATTTTCAGAGTCGTTGGCACCTGATGTTCAAAAATTACTAGTAAGTGACCTTGTAATGTTGCATATTTTCCATTTATTGACATAACATTTGATCTTATGGGTTTCTTTCCTTCAGATTTCTAGCAGTTGCAGGCCTCTTGTAAGGAAAAAGGCTGCACTTTGCCTGCTACGGTTGTTCAGGAAAAATCCTGACGTCGTCAATGCTGATGGCTGGTGCGTATTCAACATTTTTTTGTTTCAGTTTATAGATGTCTCTCTTTATATTCTTGTCTTCGTATGCTTACAGGGCAGATCGTATGGCGCAACTTTTGGATGAACGTGATCTTGGTGTCTTGACATCTTCTATGAGTCTTCTTGTATCTTTGGTATCCAATGACTATGAGGGGTACTCCAGTTGTCTACCCAAATGTGTCAAAGTATTAGAACGCCTTGCTAGAAATCAGGATGTTCCTCAGGAATACACATACTATGGCATCCCATCTCCTTGGCTCCAGGTTTGTACTAACTCGCTTTACTGATTCTTTTTCACTCTAGCTTTAGCGCCTTACATTACCCTGGACTCTTCACATTTAGAACTTTTGAAAATTGATTCTTGTATATGTATATGTGTGGCTCCGTAAGTGTTATCTTGGATCCTTATATGTCTTTTGGTTAGCGTAGGTGAAAACAATGAGGGCTCTTCAGTATTTTCCAACAATTGAAGACCCCAGCACCAGAAGATCGCTTTTCGAGGTTCAATTTCTTCCAAGAAACTTACTAAGATGCATTTTTTAAAAATCAGCCTCATAACATTTACTAGGGGAATTTCAGGTCCTACAACGGATATTGATGGGAACAGATGTTGTAAAAAATGTGAACAAGAACAATGCGTCTCATGCTGTGCTCTTTGAAGCTCTATCTTTGGTAAGATTGCCAGAAAGATAATTGGCGGTAATTTAGCCATTAAAGTAATTGATGCAATTTTCCGTGTTGCTCGTCTCCTTTACATGTCTCAACCCCTTGCCAATACATCTGAACCGGAAAACAGAATGCTCACTTGTGCATGGACGTTTTCCTTTTGATTCTGTTTGTTAAGGAAAGAGCTAGTTTAAAATATTTGGTAAATTATTTGCTTGCATGGCTATCTGCGTTTTACCTTATTTTGTGTTCTATTATTATATACTCTCTCCTTCAACAAATCAGTGCTATTTTGCGTAAAAGATTCAATACTGTTTTGCTTAAACGTCCAATGCTAAGTGGTTATCATGAACATTTGTGTTTTCTCAATTTCTTGCCCTGGTGAGATGTATTTTATCATGTCAATTTGTGGTTCTGCAATAGGTTATGCATCTCAATGCTGAGAAGGAAATGATGTCACAGTGTGTTGCTCTCCTAGGAAAATTTATTTCTGTACGTGAGCCCAACATCAGATATTTAGGCTTGGTGAGTTTTTATACAATGGTTTCCTTCTTGTAAAGCCTAGCTAGAACTGTTTGTGGTGGATCATCTATTAGTTGGCCCTAATGATATATTTTCTGCAACACTGCAGGAGAATATGACACGAATGCTGATGATCACAGATGCCCAAGATATCATAAAGAAGCACCAGCCTCAGATTATCACCTCTTTGAAGGACCCTGATATCAGGTTTTTTTTTTCACCATATCAATATGAGCTTGTTGTGAACCAAGGCTGCCGTCTCTGTTGATCAAATTTGTATCTGGTGTAGTTAATTCAGTCATGAAACTGGTTGTAGTTGATAATTTCCGTGGAATAGTTTCTGCCAAAATATAATATTGTAGATATGCAACTTTAAACCAAATTGTGAATTTGTTTCACAATAATCTTTAGTAAAAAAAAATCTGCTTTTCATACTCCTGGTATCCTGTGTTAAATAGTTATGGGTATAAAGTTTGCTGACAAGTATTGCTTTCCTGCAGTATTCGTAGGCGAGCTCTTGATCTGCTTTATGGAATGTGTGATGTGTCAAATGCAAAAGGTATAGTCGAAGAGCTGTTACAGGTAATTGTTGTACAGATTAATATTTCCTTTACCTGTAGT